CACTCCCTCTCTTCTTCTTCTTCCTCTTGCCTTAGGAGAAAAGTAAGAGGAGAGATTGCTTTTGGTGCAACATCAAACGGCTGTAACTTTCACAGCAGATCACAGGCCAAGATTTTTTTTGTTTATTTATTTCCGTGGTACTTTGTAAACAAAGTCAGGATTACACACGAGGAACCAACTGATGGTGTTTTTTACTCCCTGCCCTCTGTCTGCACCGGTCCGTAGCAGCTGTGTTTACTACAGTAAATCCACAAACTAACTGGACCCGTCTGATTCTAAAATACTTTATCTGCTTCCTGTTAGTATCTTAAATATTCAGTGTAGGTTCTATTCAGTTAAACTGCAATATCTCTTCGTAGCTCGTGCGTCTTCTCCTCCTGCAGGCGTTTCTGTTTACTCTACAGCAGTGTGATGTAGTTTCCCTCTGGGATTCATTAAAGTTTCATATCATCTAATCTGGTATTTCTTTTATGGTGCTTTCAAGAGATAAAATGAAACGTTTCATTTGATTGATTTACCTGAGTGATTGTACACACTCTACAGCCTGACAACGCAATAACATGAAGTAAAAGAACTCACTTATGGGGAAATGTTTGCCTTTAACACACGGGGAACAGTCTATGGACGTGTTCCAGGGTAGACAGGGAACGCAGGTGAGAGCATCAAAGACTTTGGAGCTGGAATCATATCCATAATGTAGTGAAGGGCTGGAGGAGCGCTGCCTGTTATTTGGGCATGCTACTGTTGTAACCTCTGCACAGCAGATACTGCAGCAGGTCCTGAAGAACAAAGACAGGAGGGGAAAGAGGGGCCTGACGGACCTGCAGGGAATCCACAAACATAAGACTCAGCCTCATTAAAACAGAAGGCACAACTAAGAAGCACTGGCTCGCAGGGGAGGAAATTTACTCCTTAATGGGGGGGTCGTGTCCCTGAGCACGGTGATTCGGGGGGAATTATTCTGCATTTTAGGGCAATTGGATCAAATGTCTTCTGTCTACGAACAACTGGATTTACTTTATCTATTAATTTGAGACATTTTACAAAGTATTTGACTAACTGGTTGCTTTTTCTGTGCTAACCTTTAGTTATTATCTTGGCTCTTTTCATTAAGGCCAAACTGAAACTCTTGCTTAGAATCCACTCGGACTGTTAAGCAATTTCTAAGATGATTTCACTTAGTTTTCAGTTAATTTAGTCAATTTTACCAGTGCCATTTTTTCCAGCTTGGACAAGTTTAAGTGTTGCTTTATAACATGATAATGTGGGTGAAATACTTTTGAGACACATTTCCAGATTATGTCAGATTATGAATCTGTCACCTCAGTGTCAATATCACTGATTATGTCTTTGTTGTATCTCATCTGTATCTGTTTTAAAATGTTTTTTTTAAATGGGCAGAGATACAAAAATAAATAATTATACACAGTTAAATCTAATATAAGTTTATATCTATGTCCTGACTGGTTACATGTATTATTTCTTCTTTTTTATCCACTTGTATCTACTTGTTTTTGCTCCATAAACATGTTGGAAACTAAATATAGGCTGTTTGACATGTTGCTTTTAATTTGTCTTTTTGAGTCTGTGTCTCCATGGCAACAGTATTCTTTCTGTTGATGTCCTTAACCTTTGAGGTTATTTTTTTACAATTATGAAAAATGTTCTCATTGAAGAACAATGAAGAAGCTGCCACACCAGAAGCTTCTTTTTGTTTTTTGGGTTGTTTTTTTCCCCTCAAGCTTCTCTTCCGAGGAGAAACTTTCTAATTCAAAGATTTGGATGTAAAAGTGTGTCTTTAATTAAAATATCCTGCTCTTACAGAATAAAATTGTTTTGGAGTTTGCGCATCTCAAAGGGGAAATGGTAGATTCATTACACGAAAATAAAAAATAAAATGAAAACACAGACATGTAGGAATGAGCCGGGAATTAAATCCCCGTTTTCTGTTTAAAGTTTTCACTTTTTTTTTGTAGAAAAAAGGCAATTAAAAGTAAAATACGGTCTCCACTGGAAAAATAAATTCCAGGCAACTTAACAGGAGATAGTTTTACTTATAAGTGTAAATATTTCATTAAACATAAACAGAAAGCAGAAGAAGAAGAAAAACCTGCGATAATTTTCTCACAAATGTGGTTTGTGTCTTTTATGCAAAAACACTCATTTCTAACCATTTCCTTAATTGGTTCTGGTATTTACACCATAACAAAAGTAATAATTGTGATTTGACTGAATAAAAACCTGGTATTTACACCATAACAAAAGTAATTATTGTGATTTGACTGAATAACCACAGTATCACAGTCGTGGCCGGAGGGCATTAGAAAAGCAGATGTGGGGGAAATGTTTGCATCGTCAGCAACTGTCGGAATATCTGCTCACACTCTTTAAGTTAGATTTATAGTCTCGGGCTCCAAACACAGTTAAGTCAGGACTTCATATTTTCTTTTTCAAGCCCTAAATGAAAATCAGGGAGCAGTTAAAGATCTGAAAGGCGTCAAATGCCTAATTAACGGTGAGGCATAAAAGTGTAATTTTGTTTTCCATAATGATCCTGTCTTGGTAAATATTTATTCATATTTACTTGTGAGTGTGTTTACGCTGCAGAGCAAGTGCAAAGATTTTGATCCATTGTTTTATTCCTTTTCTCTTTTCATTTTTTGTCTGTTTGCAGTGCAGTGAGAAACTTCAGACTAGAAAGCAATAAAAATAGAACTAAAGACTTTATTGTTTCTCTCTGACAATAAAGATACAGAATTAATAAAACTCTAACTTTATCGTCGGCTCAATAATCACTGGACACACTGTTTCCTCTACGTTCGCATATGTACGTTTTTTTTTTTAAATCTGTTCTTGTTAAGTGAGTGTTTCTCTGTTCATTGCACAGCTGATCTTAATCGTGTAATTACTGTAGTGACTGTTTTGTTGTCACTGCACTCCAGCTGTTTACACTGAAATTTGCGCAGTGAAATTCTTCATGACTCACTTGATGTCATTATTTTGAAATATATTTTGCATCTGCAACTGTTTTATGTGCAATATAACTGACGCACAACGGATTGAAGTGAATTCAAAATTCCATATAAATATTGTTGTACAAATATTCAGAACCTGGTGAGTGAATATTAACAGTTGGTTGTGTACATTTGGAAAAAAAATCAGATTTTTTTTTTTATCCTCTGAACAGAGGTTTTTACACATTATTCAAAGGAACTGTAATCCATCCACCCCCACAACTCCCTCCACTCCAGGAGAGAGAGAGGTGCTCACTTCATAAATGGTTGCCTTAAAACCATGGGTAAATGGGTTTGCTTTCTGTTCACACACACACACATGCAAAGAGCTTGTGAGTGTGTGAGCACGTCCACAGTCGAGGCGCTTTGATAATGGTTTCTAAATTAAGATACTGTCGGATCAGAGAGATCTTCCTGTAGAACTGAACAAAAACTTTGTCATTGTGCTATTATTCGGTCCTGTGACCCAATAAAGCCTGACATGAGACTCACTCCTGGGTGACGAGCCCCTGTCTGAAAAACACTGCATTTATGGGCTAACAGACCTCAGAGAAGAAAAAAAAGAGTTTTAGACATATTTGATATATATGTATATATTTAAGATATATTAAACCAGTCTATCCATCATTGAACATATATATATGGTAACAGGCAGAAAATCACTGTTAAAAATGTGAAAAGTGCAAACACTGCCCCCTGTCTGTCAGTGCAAATCTGCGGTGTTTATTTATGACACGATCTATTTCCTATTTAGATGTTTCAAATCCCAGTGAACATTAACTATTCTATAAATAATAAACTAAAATCCACCATACAAGGAAAGTAAAGAAGGAACATCAAGTAAAAGTTTAAAAAAAAAAAAATCAATAAAATTCCACATCAACTCAAACTGAGTTAAAGGCCAGTGAGGAGCAGGTCGGAGCAGCTCCACTGTGGAGCAAAACCATGAGAATTTTAAAAACCAATAAAAAAGAATCTTAAACTCAGTAGTGAAATGAACTGTGAGGCAATGAAGTGATGCTGAAACCGTGGAAAGGAAATCATGCTCAGCTTCTTGGCAAAGGTAAAAAGGTATCCAGAAACGGACAACTAAGACGATTTTAAAAAAATCTATTGAATGATTTAAATTATTTTACTTGTAAATATTAGTATTCGTTAGCCTTGATGCGCATTATCGCCACCTGTTGGGTTATTTTGACATTAACTCGGGAGGTGGGTCACTTGAAATCACAACACAACGGCTGTGGCCAATGGTTCACACCGAGTGTAGTGGGTGGGACAACACGCGATTTATTATCAGACGGAACTTCCACCTAGGGGGCGCTAATGAAATTTGGGACAACACGCGATTTATTATCAGACTTCCACCGAACTTCCACCCAGAGGGCGCTAATGAAATTGAAAAAAAAATAAAGAAAAAAAAGAAGAACTTTTCAGGCCGCGACATCCAATCAGCGACAAGTTTATCCCAACGTCACTTCCCTGTAGTCAAGCGGAGAAGTTTGCGAACAATGGCGGGAATGCGTCGAGTTCGGGCATCAACACCGCCGCCATGTTTGATCGGAACCGGAATTAAAAAAAGAAGAGACAAGAGTTAAAGTTAGTTAAAGTTAGCACTCTTTGGTAAGTTGTGACTCTTTCTGTGTTCTTTTTTACTACGTTACTGACTATATTTCGCTGACTTTCTCGACGCTATAGGCGTTTCTTTTTTTCGTCTGTTGCGTTTAGTGCCATTGAAATTTAATACATCCGATACTTTGTTCTTGCTGTGCAGTTGGACAAAAACTGTTTGACAATATTAAATTATACATTTTGGTCTGTAGACGAAATTTTCACATTTGGAAAATTCGGACTTCCTCCCAAAAAAAAAAAAAAATCACGCTTGGAATCCTTCCGAAATTTGGCTGGCGGTGAAATGCAGTCTGTCATCCATCTGTCCCTCCCTCACCCTCTCTCTCTCTCTCTCTTTCCTTCTTTCTGCCTCTGTCCACCCCCCCACCCCCCATTGCCTCACCCT